TAGATGTTTATTGACTACTCTACATGACCAGAATGTGTCTCTTTCACAATAAGACACGCGCTTATATAGAGAAGAGGAAAGAGAGATATGACCCGGAGATAGTATGATATAGAGGTGAGAGGATAAAGAACAGAAAGAGATGAACGATATCATTATTGTTACAGACGTAATACAATTGATCTTTCCTTTTACATATACTTCTCTACTTCAGTATGTTTTGTATTTATTATATTATCATCGATGTATAATCTTAGAGGCATATCATTATCACAAGTTTATCTGTTTATCTGATTCTTAGCGAAAAACGTTTCTCCGTTCGTAAACAACCAGCGGCTATTACAGTTGTTACTCATCTTGAAAGAGTTATTTGTTTTTAGGGTGGATCTGATCACATTGGCAGCAGAAAAGTCAATAGTTACTCCGTTATCTTCACTCCACACTCTTCTCTCAAACGACCTTTGTTTCTGAACAGAAAAACATTTTCTTTGATGAAACGAACGGCATGTTTTTCATTGGAAAATAAAACTCGTTCTCATTTATTTAATGAAACCTGTGCTTCCCGATCAAATAGATCGATCTCTTTTGACGTCCATGAACATTTTATTTGTTTTAATTCTTTATACATGTTACGTAAACGTATACTTTAATTACTTTCTCGATGATTCTTTGTCTTCTTTTAAATATTAAATCTGTCGAATAAAAAAAAGTTAGAAAGAACACATGTGTAAGAAATCGACTCTGATTTCATCATAACGATCATTCGATTGGTTCTTCTATTACTTTTCAATGGTATTCAAACTATTCAAGTCGGTTTGATACAAAATGTTTATGTTTAATGATAAATTCAAATCAAACGATTGTGTCATTTAATTGTTATCAAAACAATAGAACATGTCAACTATTCAATAACGGTCTAAACTTTTTCCGTAATCAGTTAAATGACGAATTAAATACTTCATTCTATTTTCTACAATATCCACCGAGAAATTTTACTGATTTATTATGGTCATTTGATCGAAGTATCAATGATGAATCAAGTTTTGTTTATATGACACAAAAAGGTGTTGTTTCATATATTTTACCTAGAATTTATGGTCGAGGTGCCGCTTTGGTTTTCAACGGTGCCCAATATTTGACAGCATCTTCTCCATATCTTGATACAACATCAAATGGTTTTACTTTTGAAATGTGGATTTATATGATTGGATCCCTTTTACCGAACCAAGTAGATCTAGGTTTAGTAGGTCAATGTTTACGTCAAAATACAGGAAATTGTCTACATATGTCAGTACGAAGTAACCACAATTATTTAGATTTTTATAGATATGATTGTAGTGGAAACCGACTGTTACTCTTTAATATTTGATATCATATTGCTTTTGTATATAATTTTACAGAAAGACTTCCACAATCAATTTTTATCAATGGTCAACTTGATAGCAGTGTTATCCCTTCGGGTGGTTTGAATTTGAATCCAATGACGAATATTTCATTAACTATCGGTAATATACAAGATCTTGTTAATTCTCAAGCATATCATGGATATCTTGATCAATTATCACACAGTAGTCGACCAAAATCTTCCAATGAAATACTTGATGATGCTACTCTTGTCTTTTATTTTGCTTTTAATAGCAATTCATTTCTTGATTCTGGTCCAAATAGAATCATTGGAACACCATATAATGTTATCTTAATTAATGATGCTCTTCAATTTTATCAATCTTTTTCATCTTTTCAAATCGAAACTTTCATCCCTCCTTAATATCTATAATGCATCTCCTTCTATTGCACTGTGGATTAATCCATCTTCAACTAATTCGACAAGTATCGTTCATGTTTCAAACAACTTTTCATGTTGGAATATGATCTCATTGATCGATCCAGGTCATATTATCTTAGAATATTCACAAAATCAAACAATCATTGGTCCTTTGGTAATTTCAAATTTATGGACACAAATTACACAGACATATTCGATAAATAATAGAATTAAACTTTATATTAATAGAACTTCATATAATGCTTTTATCCATGAATTTCGCGTGTATACGCGTGAATTAAATGCGAGTAATATTCAAAAATTAACAATTCAAGCAAAATGAAGAATATTCTGAATATAATATTTGAAAATGAAATAACAACAAATTTGATTAGAGAGATTGTCAAGATCATTGGTTTTATCAACATGGTAAGCTTCAGTAAAAATAATGATTATAGCCAGGACAATCATGCATCACTATTACAACCATAACTCTCAGCGTAACAATCACTAAGAGAACTAAATTGATCAAGATATATGTACAAAGATCATTTAAATAAAATTTGCAGTAACATTGATGTTACATGGTCTCTTGGTGAGGATAATATTTATATAGGATTTCACAGTGGTTTGAAAAAAGAATTGGAACAAATGTTCATCCTGTACCGATTACGATTTCAAATAATTTCAAGTGAACATTAGCGTAGTTGACACATATGAACGTGTTGTTCGAGAATACCAAATTTGAAATTTTATTAATTCTTTGACTGCTTGAATAAACGATGAGAATGATGGCAATTTTTAGTTTATTTCTTCCATTTATTCACTGGCGTCACTGAAGCTCTCAACGTTATCGACTTTGTTGAACGATAGAAGTGACAATAATAAGGAATAAAGTTACACTTCTCCAATAAACAGACCTCTACTATTGCTTCCTTGACTCCCTTCATGATCACTATTGATAATATGTCTGACGACATGCAAGATGCTGTCAATAATATGAAACTAACTCGAGGTACCCAGGTCGATCAATCCCATACTCGGATCCGATCGGATCCAGCATCGAATTTGTTGACCTGGATAATAGATAATTTAATTTTGCGACAAAGTCAAATCAGTGTTACTATTTTAACTGCAAAGCCGATAAAAAGGCTACTTCGCCATGAATATACGTTCGTTCAAACGATGCCGAATATGTAGTGTCTATCAATCGAAGCATTGATAATAATAGAACAAATTTCAATTATCTCCTTCAATCAATTATCCCATTGTCTTTATCGGTGTACCTTATCGTGTATAACTATACGCGGCAGGGCGATTTAAAGTTACATTAGTATAACGATGTTAGCAGTGTCAGTGGTACAGCGATGCTAATGGTATAAGGATGAAATGATATAAGCACACAGTGGTTTCCATAGTGTCCAGCTTCGAAGTTGAAAATAGTTATTCCCTACGACCGCAGGATATCGCTCACACCATTATACGGTTAGCACCGCTATATCATTATACCACCATACTGTTGGGCTGCTGGGTGGATAGTTCTTTCATTCTAGATTTAGTTAGTATAAGAAATATGTCTTCGAATTTTCCTATCAATTATTAATTCTTTTAAAAATCAATTTTACCACAAAATCATATTCCCCAGCTTATGACTAACTCTTCATGTCTCGATCCCGTCCATACTACTGTTGCAGCAAGTACTGCTGTTGTCTTTGAATCATAAACTTTCTATTGCTGAGGAGCACCTACCTAGAGATCTTTTGAAAAACAGCGGTTTAAACTATCATCTTTGCTTTATAATCGTATTCTACCATTATCATCACCAATTAAACTAACATCACCAAGCATCATACCTCGCCAAGCATTAAAATGAAATTCAATCATTATACCTGGATTTGTAGCACTATCATTACCCTTCTGCACTGTTCCTTCCCATTCATGATGACGATTACTATTCTGATTTTCTTCTCGACCATTAACGAGAATCGTTCCCTATACCAAACACGACAGTCGTCAAGCGCCTAAATCTTTGAAGGAACAAAAATTCAGCATGTGGAATTACCTAAACCTTTTACCGTCTCAGTATCCGTTTAAATATTTCCAAATCGAACTAGCGAGAACAACAACATGCCAACAAAACAACATTTCGATTCTGCGATTCTTCTTTCTACAAAACGCAATAAGACAAAACTCATTAGACATAAGACTACTCAATGTTTATAACGCAAGACTTACGTTCAAACTGTATGCGAATAAAACTATAACCTGTATAAAAAATCCGGCACATTATCTCACGACTTCTCACAGTGCAGATGCTTATTCCCTGCTTTATACGATCAGAATGTCCCTGATTCAACAAACAACACGCGCCAAATTAGAGACTATCGACGAACTGCAGGTACAATGACAAAGCCGCCAAAGAATGACAAAAAAAGAAATAAACGACACCATTATCGTCGTACAAACACCCCACCACCTTGGATATCAATCTTCATCCTGACATGATCAAACTATAACTTCATCTACTGTCTGACATATTCATCCCAAAACTCTCACACGAAACCCATATCTATAAGCCATCTCATTAAAGCAACCAAACGCCGACATATCCTCAAACTATATGACAACAAGCACAGACCAAATCAAAAAACAAAATTCATCCAAACGAAAAAAAAACACCACAATCCGAGCTCCAATGGGAAATAATAACAATCTATGCCGATCTTCGACTGAAACCAATTTCTCACAATACACTATCTATCACCACCACTGGAACAACATCGAACCAATGTCCCGCAATCAGTATAGAATTTATTCATGAGATGCCTCATTCGTCTTATATCATAAGTCGACCCCGACAGGCTAGTATCAATTCCAATACAAATCGATATCCATATAACCCATATGACCAATAACTAGATAAGAATGGAAATAGATTTAATTTCCGTGTGTGGGAGTATAAGTACAACAAAATCTATTTCTATTCCTAAACTCACAGGGGTGTGAGGGTATGACTGTATAATTACAACTGAATCCATTTCTATTCCTAAGGGTGCTAGCAATTGGTCATTTATATAATAAGTCGAATTAGTCAGCTACTCAATTTATTGCAACTTTCTATTTGACATCTTCCTAGCACAATGCTCCGCACGGTAGAAATCTCATTGTGACAGCAACTTTCAATGAAAATAAATCTTGGAACCTTTTCGTTCATACCCTAAGCAATACACGACGATACCACGAGTGCCTGATAGCGAGCTTCAAAACTATAAACACTTTCTTTTTGACTTATTGCTTGCACAATGGTTCCGGGAGGTCGAAATCTCGGTAAAACAGTATCCTTCACCAGAAATAATTCTTAGAAAATTCTCGTTCATAGCCTAAGCAATAGACGATGATAGCACGAGTGTCCGGCAGCGAGTTTGCAATTTATTAACACTTTCTTTTTGACTTATTGCTTGCACAGTGGTTCTAGAAGGTCGAAATCTCAGTAAGTTGGCGTCTTTCACTAGAAATAATTCTTGGAAAATTCTCGTTCATAGCCTAAGCAATAGAGGATGATAGCACGAGTGTCCGGCAGCGAGCTTGCAATTTATTAACACTTTCTTTTTGACTTATCGCTTGCACAGTGGTTCTAGAAGGTCGAAATCTAGGTGTATCAGCATCTTTCACTAGAAATAATTATTGGAAAATTCTCGTTCATAGCCTAAGCAATAGAGGATGATAGCACGAGTGTCCGGCAGCGAGCTTGCAATTTATTAACACTTTCTTTTTCACTTATCGGTTGTACAGTAGTTCCAGAAGGTGGAAATCTCGGTGTATCACTATCTATCACGAGAAATGATTCTTTGATAATTTTCGCTGTGAACCGAAGCAATGGTGGACGATAACACGAGCGTCGGGCGAGGAGATTGGAAGTGAATTGAACGTTCTGTGGAACCTATTGTTTATGTATGGTAATTGATGGTTTAGATCTGAATATATGAACGGCTTTCATGGGATGTAGTAGACCGCGAAAGATGTGCGATGAGTGTAATTGCCGTGTGGACTGGGATGTTTTGGAGAAAAGCAGATTCTCTCACGATATGATCGCTCAATTGCTACTTGTCTCAACGGTTGTGGTTGTGCGCAGCAGCTAATGAAACATGAAAAAGGAATGGACATGTTAGCATCAGGGTAGACCCTTATCAGTGTCTTTTTAATGTGTAGATTTTATGATTTTTTCTTGTCGTAACATGTGGTAGAGGACTACGGAAAAGTTCCTTTGAAGGTTGTTTGATAAAAGAAAGATGTTGGCGAATCGTTTTTTAAGCACGCTTATAAGGTTGCGTTTGAATAGTTGTAATTTACTTTATTCGATTGGGTTAAAACACGGAGGAAGTGCAGTGAAAAGCATGAAACGATATCAAATGTATTTTTCGAATTGATTAGGATTTGTATTTTAAAATATCTGAAATCTTTGTTGGCTTCAGATTGAATGTAGTTGGATGTGTTCTTATGTTGATTTTTTTCATGATCGGTGCATCGAATCGAATGATGCACGATGAACAGGTTGAAACAATTTTGGATTGATATCGATTGTGGAGTTCTAATTTGGGTATATTTTGTTTTTATTTCAATTGTTGGTATTTTGGCATGGCCTGTGTTTGATCTATATAAACTTCTTTTGAAACGATGTCGACCGAAATTAATTGCGCGTTGTTCGACGAGCATCGTTTGGATCGGTATTCACTTTTCATTATATTATTGATTTCAGATCTGTTGTCTTTTGTTCTCTTTCGCATAGGAAGTAATTTAGGAAATATAAATTGTCTAGTTATTTGATGATATGTTCATACTCTCTTGGCCGATCGAGACAATCGGAGAACAGAAAATAATTGAAGATGAGGAATGTAAATTTGAGATGAATTTTAATTGATTGATTTATCGATCATATTTTCTGCAAAACTTGAACAACGGTAGTCGAGAGGAGAAATTCTAAAGTAAGATTTACACAATACTTT